ACAAATATTACCATCCAGTTATTCAGCCAATAGTTGTTCAATTAATCAACTCTAAACTACAATGCATAAACAAGTTGATCAAGGACGTAAGAAAATTACCAGTCACAACAAATAAATGTTGTTCAATCTTTTCTGGATAGATTATGTACAGGTTCGTTCGTGATAATATTCAGTTGCTTTATGTCACAGAGTGTTTCCAACTCTGGAAGAGTGCTTCAATTCCCACTCGAAAATGTAAATTTCCAGTCAATGAAAATGACACAATCAAAAGAGGAACAAATCAATATTGCTGCCGCTATGACTAAGTATAAACTGAAACAATATAAATGTTGTTCAGGAAACTCAGTGTAGGCATAAGAAAAATAGAAACTATAATAAAATACAAATATTACCAACTCAAATGGAATCAAAAGGACTAACAAAATGTATAACTGGAGGAATCAATAGAAGGAAATTACAAATGTATACATGGAGGATTTTTACACACGAAACCTTAAAAATGTATCTTACAACGCGCAAAAACTTGTAGAGACCAAAAGGAGTGATGATAGCAGTTTTTGGAATGTCGCCAACAGCCATAGGAATTGGGTTATATGCTTTAACCAAGTCAATTTTCTAAAAAAAACAGTTGGACCTTTAAAAGTATCTGTCAAATCGTGAATGTGAGGCAACGGGTAACGATCAGGAATGGTTTTCACATTCGATCGCAGATAGTCATCATTTGGGCGCCCGTCGTTGCCGTTTTTTTAAAGATCACATGCACAGAAGATGCCCATGGGCTGTCTTATGGCTGAATGATTCCTAAATCTATCATGTGACGAAATTTGTTTTCAGCCAACCTCAGTTTTTCGGGAGCTGGTCGGCACGATTTCAGGAATACAGATGGTCCTGTAGTCGTGATGTAATGTGTAACATTGCGTTTGGTATATCTCGGGGTGCGTATCGAGTATTTGTCTATAGTATGGATATATCGTGTGCCTTACTGTGACTGAAGATAATCTTAAACCGGAACAAGAAATAACACACACTGATAAATTAGTGTTTTCATTTACTAACCACCGTTTGCGCGTGTAGATGAGTAAAGCGTGATATTGTTACAGATCTATACCAATGATCGGCATAGGAATATCTGAAACAACGAAAATCCAGTGTATGGGTTTGCTTAAACCTACGTTGGGAGAGACGTAACGTTTACTATATATGGCGATAGGTTTTATTTTTGCCACCTGTAAGTTCAAAACCGGTTTGTACAGTTAGTCGTTAGAATTCGCTTTAACTACTGATACCCATAAACTATTAGTCACAATTGTTTGTTTCTAATGTGAATATCAATGAAATTGGTATATTGAAACAATTAGCTGTTTTTTAATAGCACCAGTGTCTAGTTAGTCGATACGTATACGTAGATTGTTGTTAAATAAAAGGATGGTGTTAGTATCGATTGATGAGTGCTAATCGCCACATATCCTCCAGTTATCTTATTTGTTAGTTTAACGTTCCTCCAGATTTTCTTACAATCAAATACACTTTTCCTACCAACCATCATCTTCAATTCAGTATTGTCTGACATTCTCTATACACCATGTTACAACTGTTACGTAATTTAAACAGTCTACAGCCAGATCTTTCAACTTATCAAACTGTGAAACAGCACCACATCACGTTGAAATACAGGTTTTATTCTATACCATATGATGGCTAATATCCTTTAGTTAAAATTACCTATTGTATGCAGTATTTAGAAAACATAAAATTCTTGAAACATGTTAGTCAAAATTCTATAGTTCACTATTCTTGATAAAGTCTGCTCAAACTATGTGTCCATTTCTTTAGTACTAATATTGAAGGATTTTAACTTTTACATCAAAAAATGTTTTTCACAACTGAATTCACCAAGGTCTGCTGAAGGTTTCTTGAAGGTGCATATCCATATTTAGCTTTCTTACTTTGTTGATATTCGTAATCAGCGACAAGGCATTATAAACCTACGTGACAACGTATGATCAAGACGTAACTCTGTTGACAGCAAATTACTGATTTCACTGAAATCACGAATCACGTTAAGTTAGACAAGCAATAGAAACGCGAGAGAACTAGATAATCCCTTCATCTTAGTACAGTTGTCCTCGGCAGTAAGGATACACGACCTCGGGACCAGCAGTCTAACCGATGATCTTCCGCCTAGCACGAATGCTTCACTTCTATACGATTACCCTGAGATCCAGTGATGCACAAGTCTAACTTTAAACAATTCACCACATTACGCATCCATCTTCCATTACATTTGGTAGGTACCTTTCTTACACCCAACAGAGAGCTCTTGCAAGTAGTAATCAAGTTTGTGATTTTAATGAAATTCAATAGTCTCAATAACCCTGTAGTGACTTGAACTTGGATCGATTTTTACCCCGTGCTAGTTGTTGTGTCCTTGACTGAAAGATTAGAGAACAGTGTATTATCGATCGGACCAAAGATGCGTAAAACACGTAAGAACGACCTAGAGTTCTGATTAACCCTGCTTCCCTGTCTAGCCCAGCCAGTTGACTCCACAACACAAGTCTCAGCCTCTGAGATATGAATCATTGTATTTCAAGCATACTCTGTTTATATACCAATCAACCCGACCACAACGTACCAATAAAATAGAAAATAATATTCGTACAATAATTCGCCAGAAGTGGCTGTGAATGAGGGAGGTAGCGATTAACAGATAGAGAATAATTCATGAATGGTAAATCGTACAATAGTAGTTCATAGGTCAACATAAAGTTCATAATAAGAGGGGTATGAATATGAACAATTTAGTTGCATAACAACTATACGATAAAAATCTACTCATAATATTGGTCCATAAATGGATCCCAAAAATTACCATTCATTATTCTTATCGGGACACAACAAACCCCTTATTGATAAGCAAATTGTTAAACTGTAATTGGTGTACAAAACACTTGATTAGATCTGTAGAGATATTTTAAAGATGAAAGTGCTGTTTAAAACATTATAGAAGCAAAACATGCTATTTCTTTCAAGTTACTTTGTAGTCACGTGGAGTACAAACATTTGCATTTCATCAGATCATGGTAAATATAAAGTACCCAGGAATCTAAGGTCAGCATAGTTGTCACTAGGACATCTAATGCTATACTATTGATAGCTTCAAGCTATAAAATGATGCTGATTAAAAGTCATGGTAGAATACTGTTAGTAAACTCTAGTATCAACCTAATTAACACCATAGAATATTGAAAAGAAGATAGATGATTGCAGATTTTTGTTGAAACGGAATTTATTTTGACTTGCAGTTAAATTTATAGACAAGTTTATAGAAATCAGACAAGTATTCGAGAATTCATATTCCCGTTGATATTTTGGCAAATTCTTTACCGATTGTTGAAATCAACAATCAAAGGTCACTCTATCTTTCCAAAACACTGATAATTTTGATGTAATTATCAAGTATCGATAATTTTAGATTTTCTTCCTTGTATGAGTAGCGATTAAAATCAAACTTAGTAATATCGATGTTTGATTTTCTACAACGGACTACTTAGCCTTTCTTACCTTAATGCTTATTTTGAATGTTTGATAATGAAATGGTTTAATTGGAACAACAAAATATTTTAATTATAAGTCATACGTTGTTAGATGGTAATTCAACGGACGATAAACTAAGTAATAGTTAAAACCTAGATTTATATTTACATTATTATCAGTTTAAGATATTAAATTATAATTTAAGCCTATAATTTGCACCACAATAAAGAGACTTAAATTTGTATATAGTGATATCAATTTCAAAAAACTCCCCTGAATCGTAGTAGTTTTAAACAGTCTTGTGATGCGACTGAAATTTATTTCTTGGACAATTATCTAGACCCAATAATGAAAAATATTTTCTATATTCGCGATCAATTACGAGCTTGTAGTGACATCGGAACAACTCTGAACCCTTCGAGGTGAATATACCGTACCTCATAATGTCTGCCTTTGGACGCTGAACAGTGGATGAAAACGTTTGATGAACAAAGAAGATTGATAAAGGCACAACATCGAGAATGCACGGCAGAGCCATGCATGCATGATAAATTTGTATAATCCTGTAGTCATCACAGGAAGAAACTATACAGTAAAATTCCATTTTTTCTCCATCCCAAGGTTCTTATCAACCAGTATACTGAGACAGCGAAGTTGAGAAAGAGGACAATGATGCGAATTCGAAGCGAGATGATGCAGATTAAGTACTCATATCATAATCAGTAATATTACATTAGATTTTCCAGGTTATTAGCATAAGTTAAATAATAGCAATCATAATCCCAAAACCTAGAAACTTATCTTTTCAAGTCAAAGTGAAAAGAGTTCTATCTACTCCAAAAGAATATATCACAAATTTCACTTATACTTTTAAACTCGATACAGAATAACTGATACCTGAAGTTTGAACATGTGATTTCAAAGCTGGGAAATATTTATGATCTATTCTCTAGTAAGTATGAATAATATTAAAATATATCAGAAATGAAATTCATATTTCATATCGAACATTTAGGAGAACCAATTATAACCACGTTGATATGGTTACTATTTTACACAAACTCATATAAATAAAAGATATTCAACTAAACAAACATAGTCATAAGAGTTCATTGTGCTTTAGATTTAACAAATTGACTATATAAAACAAATCACATCATTTAAACTATCCAATCAATTGCCTTGATATATATATATATATATATATATATATATATATATATATATATATATATATATATATATATATATATATATATATATATGAGTTAATGAAATCTACCTATAGAATATGATTGGTTAATACAAGGAAGAACAATAATTTGTTATATCAATCACTGATTATTCTATACTTTTAATTAAGTAGCTATAAACCATTAATTAAAAGTAATTTTCATTTAGAAAACAAAAAGACAATATGAAATAATAATAATAATAGAAATAAATATTTTCCGTTTATAGCACAACATTCAAATGGAATATTAAATGTTAACTATAACATTATCTAATATTATTTTTCAATGTTTTCTTCACAAATTATTATTATCATTATTCATTGAATCTCAATCAATCGACATTCATTGGAATTAAAACTGAAGTAAGATTAAATTATTTGTATCATTATAAACTTGTCTTGCTTAAATCTTTATGTTTACATTTGTTTCCATTAAAATATCAAGGTTGATGATAGACATTAACACCATTGAATGCCGGCTTAGTGATCTAGTTGGTTAAGCGCCTGGTGCGAGACTGTTAGGTCCTGGATTCGAATCTCGCGGGATGCGGGATCGTGGATGCGCACTGCTGAGGAGTCTCATACTAGAACGAAACAGATGTCCAGTGCTTCCAGTTTTTCCATCGTGGTCTAGCATCGATTGACTCATGATTTCCATCAGTGAAATTTTTAAAATCTCTACAAAACCCCTTCTGATAATATCAATTCTATTATAACGATAAACTGTAAATTATTGTAATACCAATTTTACAGTATTAAGTAATCAATTGATTATTTTGATATAACCTAAGAGATGATTTCATATTATAATGTTGTATTATATTTATGTATTAAAATGCAATTTGATGACTGTTATGCTTAATTCTAGAATTAAATTCATTTACAATATTCATCTATATATATTGATAGTTTGTAATGGTTATAATGTAACTATATTTTGATCATATGACAACTATCATGAAAGATGACTATTCAGTGGTAGTTGATTTTAGATATAAAAAAAATGTCTTTCATTTAAAAATATGGTAATGATCTACTTTTCTTTTTGCTTTTTGTTTGTTGATATGAACTCTTTTCTTGACATTGACATGATTACGCTTTTTTTTCTTCACGCGTTTATTTAGGCTAAAATAATACTTTTTCTTCTTCTTCTTCTTCTTCTTCATAAGATGTTGCTTAGCAATACTGATTATATCGAAAAGAGAATCGATTTTTATTCATACAAATTAGTAATTTCTATAAATCAGATAGTAATTTTATAAAAGAATCGTTTGATTATATAAGTGAGCTAAAATACTATTACTTTTATCATTCAAGTGAAATGGTATTTTTAACTTAAACATTGTTTTAATGACATGTAATGTCCCTTAGATATAAGATTATCATGAGGAAAGTTGATTCAATGTATAATTCTATTTGAAACAGAATGTAGACATTTATGTGGAGTAAATTAAAATTACTTCTTTTAGGACTATAAAATGATAAATAAATCATTGGAAAGTCATGTCACAAGGTTTTGTGATTGCGTAAATCTAATCAGCCCACAAATGCCATGGTATGGCAGAGAGTGTGGTGGGCACACTCTCCCACTGGAAATGCTCTCACACGGCCACGCGTATACATCATCTGCCAGGGAAATTCTACTCACTGCTTCTCGTAGCGAGGGTGTTGTTTACGAAATTGAGAAGACGAAGAGCGAATGTCCGTTGCTTAAACCTGATCCCCAACCAAATCAATGATGCACATGGGCTTCAGTATCCTGCGGGAACAAATGGCGTATGAACCAATCGTTGGTCACTGGCTACCATCGGACTGCATCTCCTCACGATGCTCCACTGCCTTGTGGGTCAGACCTTTAGGTCAAAGGCTTGAGGTGTGGCTCCCTAAGAAAACCACCTGTTTCGGTCTGGGCACTCGAGCAGTATCACAGCCCTTACACAAATCGAATGATTTATGTGGCGCATATCTACTTGGTGCCTCCTTGTACCTATGTTTATGTGTTTAAATAAATAAATAAATATCAGTGAATGGAATAAATTGTAAATACAAAATTGTTATATCTAAAAATGAGAAAAAATAAATACTATTATATTTCATGTAAAAAAAAGAAATTTTAGTAAAAAGACCCATCGAAATATTATTGTCTTTAATAACTCCAAGTTTTATTGTCGGTTGTGTGTTCATGGATTACTCAATACTATATTCAGTGAAATTCTAACGATTACAGTTATTATGAAATGATGAAGATATACAATAAACATTTGAAGTTTAGATAAAGCCTTTGTATGTAGAAATGAACTTACTTACTTACTTACTTACGCCTGCTACTCCTAATGGAGCGTAGGTGGCCGACCAGAAATGAGACATAATAGAAATTACACATTCACTAAACATAAAAACATATTTTACATCTTCTGGTGATATGAACCATTGTACTGTTTACAAAGTCTTCATTTCTTTTTTTGTATTATCTTTTGGAATAGAAATCTTCAGAAATAATCTTATCTTTAATTTGATCTGATTATGAGTAAATTTTTAATCATTTCATGAAAAGAAGTTTATTGGGATTACGTAATTTATAAGCGTGATGCATTTCGAATAACCTGGTCACTTATTTATTTGTTAAGATATTGATATATAAAAAAATAAGGGTAAATCCACATGGAATGGAAGATAAGAATGACACAGATTATATTAAAAAGATAATATGAAATACATCATTTTACATTATTAGAGTAGGTTCACTGTACGTACAGTCTACTTCAAAACATAAATGGTGTGGGTTTGAACTTTCACACAGCTAAGACTTCAAAAAACCGAATTCTTCACCCTAAGCAACTTTAATATGGAAACCACTAAAATATTGTGAAAATACATATTATATAATTCTGATAAACTTCTTTTTCGTATTGCATTATCAAAATTAATCAAATGGAATAACAGCTTTTGAATAGCTTACTTGATTCTATTAAGATATTTCTGTTCACTTAATTTTTACCATTCATGTCTTGTGCATACTCTGAATTTGGTTAAAAGTACAAGTTTGTTTGAGATAGACTATGATAGTTTATAATTATAAAGATACTTTATTTCTGATTGAAATTCACGTACTTTATTTTCAAAAAAAGTAAACCGTTTTAAAATTGATGTTATTTGTTCACTATGTACATACTTGAAATTATGAACATTTTAACAAAGGGTAAGGTAAACTTAATGACTGTGATATTTGGGGAATATCAGAAAACTGTTCTGTTTCAGTTTCAGGGAACTTAATATGGAGAACCTACAGGTTTATACTATGGTTATTCACATCTTGATGCGCCTGGGTGCGATTGAACATTTAGTGTATTATCACATTAAGTATCGATCGTTTTTTGTATATCCCTCTGTTCAGTATTGATATTTGATGAGTGACTTATTATAAAATTACTAGTACACGGAACAGGAATAGACTGAAATCTTATATTCACAAACTTAAAAAAACAACTTGTAAGTCATTTGAGAGTTAAAGAACATTATGCTCATTGATCTAAAGTATTTTTATCTGTTTTCTCGACGAGTTTAACTAATGTACAGAATATGGATACAGCCGGTAAATTTCAACATGTTTTGTCATTTACTGTCATTAGAACTTATGGAGGTTTAAGAAAAGTATTGATGTTTGTAGTTTGACTTATAAATTCAATACCTTAATATTAATCGTTTAAAGATTCCCATCATATCAAAAAACTAATATTTGAATATTATTACCTTAATATTAAACAAATGGGAATAATTAACAGTGTACATTGGATTACAAAAGGTATTATGTTAATTATTTGAGAGTGAAATTTTGTCTGTCAGAATGTCGTTATATTATTGTATGCTCTTGTGAAAAAACGAGCACCAGTTACTGTGATACGTTCAGCTCATGATTAACAGCTAACACAAAAGCTACGTTTACAACTTTCTAGTGACTGCCTTGAACCACTCAGTATTAAAAAAAGTAAACATTATGCCGATTAATTTAAGCTAATGGCCACTAAGCAACTTGACTGGGAAGTTCAATTAGCACTAAGAACTGAACAAAGATGATTGTAATTATCACTCACTAAACAACTCAATGTTAGCTTTCACCTTGATACCGTTCAAAAACCACTAATTGTCATACTGACTGTATTCGGTTGATTTGTTGTAATGTATGTCTCAAAATATTCGATTCCTTGAAAATACAACTCATGATGATCGGCATTTTAGATTGTCTCTGAAACTCATTTTTAGATAAATAAACTTATACAAATCTCAATAGTTACAAAAGTTTACATGGGGTTCTCCATAAGCAAATATAACGCATTATCAGATGAGTATTAAAACACATCTTGTATGATGCCAGGTATATATATATAATTTCCAAAGAATCGATTCTCAAATGAAATTTCTAGAATTTAATAAAGTAAACAGTTAAGGTGACTGAATGTTATTTTGTTCATCTAATAGTTGGAATAGAAATCTAGGTTAATAATATCATCCTCTCTAATCTAAACGGTAAGAACAATATAGGTCGACTTAAATGTAAGTAATTCCACCATTCTTTGATTAATTTTTGTAAGTTGAACTTATTGGCAAAAATATTAATGATATCGATCTTGGTTAGGTATTCCTGAGGCATTTGTTAATTATTTGTGTAGTTCGAGTTAAAACCTATGGAATATCATGAAAAGCATCATCAATGAAAGATAATATGGCGTAATTTTCTGTATATTTACCTTTTTCAGAAAGAGCAGATTCATTCAAACGATTTGAAAATTTATTTACATATTAGGTTCCTGCTTTTTGGACCAATATTTCTTCTCTTTTTTTATCATATACAGCTTTTGGTCGCTTTTAAGTTGCCAACCAAATTCACATTTTTTTGATAATCATTTAATTGACAGTCTAACGATCGATCTACCCACATTCATTTGAAAAGCGGCTCCACATTCCAAACAAGTAACCATGGTAAAAGAATGTGTCGCTTCGTAAACAAGTTTAAGAAAAGTTACAAGATTAATTAATTATTCTGTATTCAATGACTGACTGTATAAATTGACATTCTCAAGTTAATAATAATATAACAGTTGACTTTTTTGTATCAGATAATTGAAATGAAAGTCTGAAATGAATATAATACAAATATTTTAGGTCAAATTGTCTGGTGTGTTATATGTTTAATAATACCACAATATATTTAGCAAAAGTGTGATGAAGAATCTAATTTACAAGAATTTAGGTGATAAAGTTGTTTATTAATTCACAGTTTTAGCCATCTACTACTTTTCTATCAAGTCATTAATTATAAGTACTGAAAACAGCTTAGTTGGTCACACTATCGAACTACAATCAAT